CTGTTTTGTAGATAAAATATTTCTTCATTAGGATGAAGAGGCACAAATAGGGGCGGGCACGATTCCGGACAGGCATCATCCCTTTTTTTAATTGGAAGCCAAGCTGGTTGGTTCTTTAACTGGGTATTTTTAGGCCTGGTTCATCAAAAAAAGTCTCCCTCTGGTCTGTTGTGGATCCGGATCTAGTTTTCTGTATTTTCAAATTAGGCTTGAAAATAGGGCATCAACCAATCCGGGAATCATCGGTTATAACCAATCTAAATTGAATCAGGCTTTGACCATGTATGGCTGCGTTTCCACAATTCCACCCTCAGCCGCACAACTGACACAAGACTTTTTTGGGGCATGTAAAGTTGTGTTGTTGAGTTATATTTAAGAAAAAAAGAGTTAATACCAATCACATAACTTTGTCTTAAAAAGACAATAAGAATAACATTTTAGGATGAACAAAAAGGATGGGGAAAGAAAAGTTGAGATAGAGGCTAGAGCCATACTGGGAGACTAGGAGTATATATTATTTCGAATTTTCGACACACATGCACACTTCTATTCAGTTATCATATATAGTAAATGGGAAAAATCTCATTAATTCATTATTGGTTTCATAAATCATAAAAAAATACAATAATATTATAGGTTATTTTCACTGGTCAGAGAATGGGTATCAGTATGTAGCATGTTGTTATTCTTGGGTTCTAGCCGGGTCTCCTGGCCTGCGAACTTTGAACTTTTGAAGTACTCTTGATTATGTAATCATGTAAGCAGCTTGGTAGAAACATTTCTTAAAATCTTCAATGTGGTCAGCCTGGAAAGATAGAGCAACAAGCAATGACCCGTCCCCCTCACGGCTAGGAAGTATCAAAATGTCCCCATCACCGGTATGGTTGCCAGGGCCCATATGAATCTCTTCTCCCCACCCAAAATCCAGTCCATGCAGGGGTAGACTCATCCAACTTGTCACACTAAGGTTTGGGTTCCCACTAAATGGTAGTTCTTCCTCTCGTCCACGAGACACCCCTTTAAGGAAACTTATTGCAGAAGTCACGCATTCCGGTGTGACACTGTCAATGGTCTCGCGTATCATTCGCGCCACCTGCCCTAATGGCATTGAAATGACCTCCCCTGAGATTCCATGGGTCACAACATCAATGACCGCATTGCCAAAATATGAATTGTGCAATGGTGGATCCATCCGTTTTCGAATATCGACCGACATGGTTAGGTTAGTTTGTTGGTCCGCTTTATGGTTGCGTGCCTTGCATGCGCACTTCCAAATGTGGGCGGTGACCACTTCGTATCTAGTGTAGTTTGCTCCACCAACTTTTTTTAGTGTTTCAATTTGAGGTTTGCTCAATCTTAAGACACACACTTTAGTCTCCTTCTTCTTCTCATTTTTATTGCTTGATTCTCCGATGATGAGAGGAGGGCCGCCAAAGTTGTAGTAATTGTAGTAGTAGTAATGTTCCAAAACAGCCATATGGACGAGAGGATCTTTGTGGACCCGATGTAGTACTTCTCGATCAAGAAAAGGGACCACACTAAGTGGTTTGCCACGTGCAAGTCGAGCCCATTGGTGGAGAAAGTTGGAGGTGCCTAGACCGTCACTCACAACATGTGATATTGCCAAACCAAGGCTCCATCCTCCACATCTGAATTTGGTGAGCTGCCCGATGAACAAGGGCATTTTTTGAATGGGAGGAGCCGTGTAGTACTCGGCACTAGGAACCAGTTGATCAAAATCAGGTTGTGGATAGAAATCCCCGAGTTCGGATAGTACGCCGTCAGATTCTGCCTCAATGAGGATGACTCCCTCAGAGTTGCAGTCGAGCACAAGACGACGACCTGTAGTCGTGTTGTTGTTGGTTGCCCAATTCAACCGACCAGCCATCGGGTAGAAATGGACTAACACTTGACTGAGAGAAGATTTTAAGGTTTCCATGAGGGATTCTGGTGGCTGTGGAGATGTGGCATAGAAGTAGATGGTGGGGACATGCATCATGGTTCCTGTTTGATCAAGTTCGGATAATTCAAGGATGCCATTCCATGTTGGCTCTGATGGTTTCACAATAATGTTTGAACTCTTTACGCACACCTTCATAATTTCTATGTATATAATAATTACAGAATGTTTTGTTTGGGGTGTTTATTTTTGGTGTTCGTGTATTTATGGGTCTAGCATCTAATATTAGCTAGCTAGTGAATTCTGTTTTTTGTGATCATGTTTTATGGGAATGTGTTGAAACACAATTCATGTGAATTGAGCCGTGTTCGTAAGGAGAAGAGGCATATAAATCTAACTCAAGAAGATTTATTGTGCTTCAAATAGGAAAGAATAAAATGCATTAAATTTAATACTTTTAGAATTTTAAAAGTCAACAATTTAAAAATAGAAAAATGTGATGACAATGTTAGGGTTTAAAATAAAGTTAACTTTTTATGACATCACAAGAGTGTGCTATTTAAAACATCAAAGGAGGATATTAAAATGAGATTAAATGGCTCTAAAAATGACCACAACTAACTGAACTACGCATAATTGATGAAAAACACATTGATAATTTTATTTTATATTAAAATGAATTTTATGTACACACAAAAGTGCATTATTTGAACATAAAATTAATGTGAAGTGGCCACCAATAGTCTCTATTATTACACATTTTATTTGTTCACAACAATAATCCAACTAATTAATTGCTTCACAAAAATAAAACAGGAATCATCGGTTGGCCTTGACAGTTGCCCTGTAAATATAAATCTTATCAATTATTGCTTATTTTTAACTTAATCGGATAATTTCATATCAGAAAGGCTCAAATCAAAACTTATTTGATCAGGTTACAGAAGTTCGTATTTTCTTCATGTTTTAAAATCCATCTAGTATAAGTTTATATAATTAAGAATACTGATAAAACTGATGAGATTTCTGTTTTTTTAAACAATCATATGTACTCGTAATTATTAAAATAGAATGTGGGTTAAATGAAGTTAATGACCTAATGCTTTGCAGAAGTTGAAGAACTTCAGTAAGCATACAAATTAATTCATTATATTTTATCTGTTAATAAATCGAAAATATTCTAAAAGGCTCATGCTATCTACGTTTTCTTATTAATTTTGTAAAAAAAATAAAGTAAATGGAGTTATAAGTCACAACATAAGTAAGTTTTTAAAGTAAGTGTAATTTTGTAGCATCACCTAAGATTTCAAAAACCCTTAAATAATGTGTTCATCTATTTTTTTAATCAAAAGTATCATAAATTGCATGAATTCCTAAAGTGTTGAGGATTGGTATTTCATGTTTGTAATCTTGAGTTGATGAGAAAGCTCACTCATCAATTCAATGTTCAATCAAACACCGTTGTAATATATGAATAATGATCATGCTGTTGGGCCTGCCGCGGGTCTGCGGTCAGCAATCTGCCAGCCTGCCGGTGCAATCGGACCGCGTGGCGCTTTGCCTATTCTATAAAAGGGGGAAGAGCGTGCTACACTATCAGCGATTGCTTTTAGTGTAGCGGTAAGCGCAACGATCCACAATTGGTATCAGAGCCAAAGGTCACGGGTTCGACCCCCGGCAACAGCATGCTGCTCAGTTGTAGGCTGGCAGGTGCTGGGGGGGAGATTGTTGGGCCTGCCGCGGGTCTGCGGTCAGCAATCTGCCAGCCTGCCGGTGCAATCGGACCGCGTGGCGCTTTGCCTATTCTATAAAAGGGGGAAGAGCGTGCTACACTATCAGCGATTGCTTTTAGTGTAGCGGTAAGCGCAACGATCCACACATGCTATTCAAAAGAATGTGGTCTTCAAGTTGAAAATGCAAAGCATGTTCAATGATTTTTATCAAATCCAAACAACAATGTTTTTTTGAGTGATATATAGGTTTATTATTTAGTTATTTCCTCAAAAGTGTCTTGTTGAAGAAAGTTTGAGTTTTAAAATACCGCAAAGAACTTTTATCTTCAAAATATTCTCAACCTTTAGAAATTTAAATGAGATTCAAATAATGTTGATGAGGATTTCAATAGAATAAAGAATATGGTAACCTCAAGCTCTTCATTATCAAGCTTCAACCGCTCAAAGGCTCACTATGCGACTTTTGATTAAGCAAAATAGAGAAAAGTGTCAAATAAGACTTTCTACTATTATGAAAACGTCACATAAGGCCGTGTGCTCAATAAAGTGTCATACAAATACGTCTGCTTATAAAAAGCAATCAAATGAGTCATAACGACCTTTCGACGACCTCGAAACCCCGATTTTAACGTACATTCGACTATCTTTTTAAAACATATTATAATGCTAATGTGGAATATTTAGGTAGGATTGACTCAAATACAAGATAAAAATAACAATACGTGAGACAAAATCGAGATTAGGACGTTGTCAATGGGTCGTTATGACTCATCCAATTGATTTTTGTAAGTAGACATATTAATTTGACACTTTATTGAGTACATCAGTACATGCCCATATGTGACTATTTCACTATAGTAAAAGGCCTTATTTGATCCTTTTCTCGGTAAAATATCATGAGTAAATATAATGAGTGACGTCCAGAATATGAAACAAATGAGTTCATACAAAACAAGTCTGTTTAGATAAAATCATAAAAGTTGAATATATAGTACTACCTCCGTCCCTGATTGTTCTTCCAAATTAAAGTGGCACGGTGATTAAGAAAGTGAGAATTGTGTGGTGGAGAGTTGTGCAGAGGAGAGAGAAATGCCGTGAACCACAAATTCTTTGCCAAAAAGGGAAAGTGAAGTTCTTTTTGGGACGGACGAAAAAGGAAAGTTGAAAGTAAATTTAGGGACGGAGGGAGTATGTTTTTTTGGTCTGAAATTTGCTGGTCTAATAAAGTTTGATCTCTGTGTATTTTATAACTACGAAGGTCTGTCTGGTCTAATATGGTGTGATCTGGGCTGCTGGAAAATATTCTGTAGCCAAAGGGTAATCATTCAATTAACCGTCTGCCACCGTTGATGTATACTCCGTATGTGTTTGTCTCTATTCCCCACCTATTCATTTTCTGTACATGTCATTTCATTCTTTGTCACGTGTTTGGCTCTATACGATGAGAATGCTCTTACAGTTCACCACTGTCAAAATCTCGAGAGACTCTTCAATAGCCGGATTACACATTTTCAGGATTACACTCCGAATCTGTATGTACTCCTACTACTACGTATAATATAGAGCGAAAGGTCTTTTATAGAGCTTAGTTCCGGAATGGAGTTGCTTTGCTCCCCTTCAATCTCAGCTAACGCTCCGAAACTCCACTCAAGAGGCCCAAGCATTGAAAAAATTGGATTGACACCCCGGAGTTCGCATCTTTACTTTGCTGGACTTGGAAGAAAGGTGAAGCCTTTACTGGTTGCTGTTAATGGGGTCATTGATGGAGGGGGTGAGTCGGAAACGGCCGTTGTGGTGGAGAAACCTCCGCCGTACGAAATACGTCGTCCTTACGAGCTTTTCGCAGGGCATCCGACTCCTTACGGTGCCACTGCTAGAGACGGCGGGATCAATTTCGCTATCTATTCGTGCAATGCTACCTCAGCAGCTCTCTGTTTGATTAGTGTGGCCGACTTACCCGAGGTGCCTGTTTCTGAAATTTATTCGTTTTCAATCTATGCTCCGTTTGGAACTCAATACGCAGACGAAATGAAAGGAAAAAATGAAAGATAAGTTCAATTTCGATAAATTAATTTCATCTATGGAAAAGTTCCTTAACAATAACTAAACAACGACCCATTGGAAAAAAGTACTATTTTTTTAAATTTGGACAAGAGTTACCAACAGTCAACCTGCAATGCTGATCAATGCAGTTATGAACAGGTCATTGGCCAATGACTCTTGTCCAAAATTTTATACGGAGTAGTTAAAGTTTATGTCCAATTAGTATGTAATTAGTACGAGTCATATTCATGGTACAGATCTCTCTATAGATTTGTAGTAACCAGTTTTTTTTATTATATTTATATCTTTTATACAAAGATTAAGAAATCAAATCATCATCATGACATCATCATTAAGAAATCAAATAATATAAAAATATAAAGAACATGTTATTTAGATATACTCTTTCACATTTTTAAAAGAAATATACTAAAACCAAAGCAAAACGAAAGAAATTTCCTTGATTTTTTCTTCGCCTAATATTGTTCATTTTTTCAAATTCCAAACATAGCCTTGGCCAGTAACTTGGACAATGTCACGGGAAACCAACAAAATAGATAGGAAATAGGGAGTAAAATTGCAACTTTACAAAAAACAATTGAAAGAAAATTAAAAAGAACAAGTTCAAATTCAATAAATGAATGCATGTTTGTTCATAAAAATTTTAAGTATATATGAAACTTTTAAGGAATTTATTATGTATCATATTTGATTTTTTCCCCTATTTCCTGGCACTTTCTTTCTTGACTTAACATTTCCTGGGTTCCAAACATGGCCTGAGATTTGCCAGATACAATTAAAGAGCCTTTTCCTTCCATGAAAATAAATAGAAAATAAGGGAAAAGGCTGCTATTTTTTCATAACCGAAAGGATACATCTTCAGAGGGAAGGAAACCAAGGAATATGGATTTTATAGTATGCAATGTAATTTGATTTAAAGAACAGGCGTCTAAGTGAATATTTTGTAGAAATTATACTTTTCTTATCTCACCTATGATAGAAGTTTGTTATAATGCCAAATGTAAGCATTCGATTCTTTATTAATGGAAGATATTTGTTAAGACTTAAGACCTGAGGTCTCATTGTGCCACTGAATTGACTTGTGTTGAGTTAAATTGTCCTCCGAATGAGTAGGCTTATGATTCTAAATTGTATATTAGCCTTGAAAATCACATGACCATCTTTTCAAATCGTGCGGTAATTGCTTATTTACTGCTGCAGAAAATAGTGTCAGAGCAAATTTCTCTGGATCCCTCTGTTAACAAGACTGGAGATGTCTGGCATGTGTTCATTAAAGGAGACTTTGATAACATGCTATATGCGTACAGCCTTGATGGCAAGTTTTCTCCTGCAGAAGGGCATCGCTTTGATTCAGCTAAGATACTGTTAGATCCTTACGCAAAGGTTCATAACTGTAAAACTTCCTATATCAGAGATGTTCTTTGCTATTATTTTCTTGATATACCGTTGTTCACAGACATGCTGTGTTTGCTGCTAATATCTATATAGGCTATTGTAAGCAGAGCAGAGTTTGGTGCTTTGGGACCCGAGAAGGACTGTTGGCCCCCAATGGCCTGCATGCTACCTTGTGCTGATAAGGTGCTGTGATTAATAGGTTGTATTTCAATATTGATATTCCTAGCCCTTATTATCATATGCAATTCAATGGAAAGAGTGTGAATAGAGCTTCTATTTAACTTAAAACAAAATATAGAATGAGTATGGACCCCTATCCTTTTGGATTTGGGCTTTTTCTTGATTTATTTATTCATAATCTGTAGTTCCTTTAAATTTCCAAAACAACCTTTCAATGCTATGGAATGCTGTTAAAAAATAAGGAAAACGGAGATAATGCGGAGCACTTCTGCACCTTATTTCTTGTGAGTTTGATAAATAGGTATGTAATGTAAGGGTCTTTTGTAGTAAGTGATTATTGGATGGGACTTTTTATTTCATAGTAACTACTAGCAAACTTAACTTTAGAGACAAAAAACAGGGACATCGAGGTTTAGAGACCATAAATACAGACATTGAGGCTTAAAATGCAAGTGTCTCAACAAAAATGAAACTTCAAAAGTTGTAGGTAAAGGGCTATACATTGTTGCTAAGCGACTTTTATGTCAGCGGTGATATTTCCAACTTAATTGTCTCTGTTGCCCCTAGCCTTTGGTTTTTGTTATTCCCTGATACATTTTCCCTATTTTTTTGGGTCTCTTTACCTAGTTTCGCTTTGCCACTAACGCTATGGATCCTGTGGCCGAATATTGAATCAATGAGGAAATGAGAAAGTTTTCAAACAACCTGATTATGTGTGCATTTTAATGCATCCGTTTTTTTGATTTTTTTCAATTTGATTAAGGTTTGGTTTTTTAATTTTAGTAAGGTGTAACAATTAATCTAAATCATTACGTCTACGTATATTTTTGGTGCTCATTTGTTAGTTTCTAAATGTATCATATGTAAGGAGAATGATCCAGATCCGCCGTGCAGCCGCCTCTATTTGAGGGGCTTCCCAGTGGATTTTTTTGATGATTTTTTATGAGCATGTTCAATGTTCTTCATGAAGTGTAGGTTATGTCCACAAAGTTTCAGCTTAAAATTCAAATTGGGAAGTCAGTTTAATAAATTATTGAAAAATACTGTGCGTCTGCGCCAATATATATATATATTGGGAAGTCAGTTTAATAAATTATTGAAAAATATTGCGCCTATATATATAATTATATATATATATATATTTAACTGACTTCCCTATTGAATTTTAAGCTGAAAATTTATGGGCATAATCTAGACTTCATGAAGAACACGCTCATAAAATTTCATAAAAAAATCCTCCTGGAAGCCCCTCTGGAGGTGGCCGCACGGCGGATCATTCTCCTCATATGTAATATGTGTGTGACTATCTTTTGGCAAATTACAAAATTAGCTTCGTCACATCAAATGTGACTTTTTTGGGACAAAAAGTATTTGAAATATGGCCCTTTTTTACAGAATTGTATGAAGGTTCTGTACACTATGATACTTCCTTCACAAGCAAGACTTTTAAGTGTATGGGTGAACATTTGGTAAAACTAAAGCAAAATCCAGAATCTATATAATTAGTAATTACTAAATCTAGAGTGGGTTAACACTTAGTTGAGCTGTATCTCGTTTTGGCTGGGATCTAGAGTGGATGACAAAAAGTATGAACATTCATACTTTTGTACCTTGCTAACAACTTTTGCTGGGATCCCTTTATGAACTTTATTTGCTATAATTTATAAATCTGATCCAATTTTCCCAAACTGATAATAATGCATAATAGCATGGTGATGCCTTATCTGGGGCTTATTCGCGCAACTCTGCAAGATGGGTTGAGTGGCTCCGTAGGAGTCTGTATTTATTTTCATTGTATTGCTAGCAAGGTGAGGCTGGTAGGGTTTTTTGCTGCTGGGCTTGCTGGGGTAGGGTATGTTTGACTTTACTGCAGAGGGTGTGTTTGAAGCACTATTATATTGTTGTTAGACCTGTAGTTAATCAGCCTGCTACCGATAGTTTCATTCTGGTCTCATTTTATTTTAGAAACATATACTTTACATTCTTGTTATGTAACATTCATATAGCAGTTGCTTAGTTGTTTCTGATCACACTATTATTGAGGATGCTATCAACTTATGCTGAAGCTTGGGCACTGGGTACACCCTCTTATCATTCTTATTTTCTTTGATATGGTTTAGTTTGACTGGGAAGGGGATCTGCCATTAAAATTCCCACAGAGAGATCTTGTAATCTATGAAATGCACGTTCGTGGGTTTACAAAGCATGAGTCAAGTGGAACAGAATTTCCTGGTACATACCGAGGTGTCGTGGAGAAACTGGATCACTTGAAGGTACATATTTGACAATCTTAAAACAATTAACTTGATATTTTTAGGGGTCATGAATAGGAAAATAATTCCCATGACATGAGTCACATGACTTTTCGATCTAATGCAATGATAAGGAAAAAATGGAATCTGGGGTTGAGGGGGATCAAGGATGGATAGATAGTTACATTTGACTAACAGTCCCATGCTCAGGTTGGATAGTTAGGATAGGAAATTTAGGATTACGATTCATTGACTACCAAAGCCTCATGGTGTGGGTGACTTGAAGTTTCTTTTATGTAGGGGGGAGAGATTAGTCTACTTTGAACCTTGGTTGTGAGTCTTGTGACTTATGAGACAGATGTGCTTAAAGAAACGATTTCATTACTATTCAACTATCCATCATTTTGCATTCTATAACTCAGATGTGAAATAAAGAGGGAATAATGCCATTTTGATCTTAGCACGTAAGTGACATAACCATTACAACGGAAATACCTCTCCAAAAGATTTGCCATTTTATGTGTGGACTAGTTATGGATTCTATTAATCTGGATTGAGAAATGCCTTTAAAGTTCGTCATGGAGCATTTGTTACTTGGTTATTCAATTTCTTTCTCTGTCACTCCTCATTAAGGTCATTCTCATAATTGGTTACCAATAATGATGCTGGACCTGTAACGATTTTCTCAGTATCCATTCTATATTTTGTTTTACTATCATTTGAAGTCTCAACAACTCTTTTATCTCAATATTCTTCACGGCATTAATCTTTTGTGCTCAATTAATTAGGTTTTATACTTTTATATAAATGTTGCAGGAACTGGGTGTCAACTGTATAGAGCTAATGCCATGTCATGAATTTAATGAGCTGGAGTATTATAGCTATAATTCTGTCTTAGGTGACTATAAGTAAGACTTCACATCTCCTGAAGTGCTCTTAAGTCTTAAGGTTGGACCTAGTGTGTGCATAGCTTCTATACTAGCATATGACTAGATCAGGCCTTTGCATGTTCTCATGGTTGGGTATCGTATTAAAAATTTGTACCCGAGGCTTCTAGTATGATTGCGGTTTGTGAATCATGTCCTTTGTGTGTGTCTATATATATATATATATATATATATATATATATATATATATATATATATATATATATATATATATACTGTGTGTATCTATGTATGTTGCATGCATGTATGTATGGATGTACATACGTACGTATTTATGTAGTATCCATGCATGCATATTTGCATGACTGTATGTATGTATGTTGTGTGTGTATGCATGTATACACACATGTGTGAATGCATATATATGTGTGTGTTTGTGTGTGTGTTGTTTCAATGGGTACCACCTGTAGTTTTTTTTTCCGGGGAACACTTGCCATGTTTTATTAAAAACCAGAAAAAGGATACACACAGAGAGGGGGACCAAACCAAAACCTCTCCAGAAGAGGCATACCTCTTCAAAATACAAAGAAAGAGTAAAATAAAAGATTATTGGGGGGACTAGACCTAACCTAATAAAAAAACATCAAATTAAAAGAATCCAACACAACTAAGACCAAGATTATCAGCAATTAAGGATCTACGAAAATGACCAGGAAGATTATTAATTTTGGAAATAATAGTAGAACCGACCCAGTGGAGCTGGGACATAAAGTATGCAGGCCCATTAGATTCACGCATAATATGTCGGAACTCGGAGAACAATACACCTGTACGTAAGTACTTCTGTTTATAACCAAAATAAAATAAATAAGACCCAGATTTCAGTGCAAAAAGTAAATGAATCATAGAATGATCAATTGATCTTAAATCTAATGGTTTAGATTCAGTCCTTATAAATGGATGAAACTGCACCTGTGTATGTGTGTCTCTGGGTTTCAAACCTCATTCTCAGTTGTCTTTTAAAGTTATATTTGAGTCCTTCAGGTTGGACAAAATTCAGCTGTGTTGACCAAGTTTCATAAAGTTATCAGCTGCAAAGGTTTAAGATGAGCCCTTCGTAATGAAATCGAAAAACAAAGCAAGGACTTTTTATTTTCAGGAAGGAGATAAATTGTATACGTAGTATACCATCACCAACCTTTGTGATATAATGATGTTATTGCTCCTTGCCTCCTTAATATTATTTCTTTGCCAAACTTGGCAGTATTGGGGTTGAGAAATAGGAAAAATCAAGTCTTCTTTGAGATTAAGGCCATTTTGGTCTCATGATTTTCGAGGTGGCTAGTTGAAGTGTCCATATGCTGTATATATATTGGGAATCTTTCTCAAATTAAATACAAGGGAAAGTTTTTTTTCCCTCCTTTTGAGCATGTATTAGAGCAGAGCAATATTGGTCCACCGCTGCATGCCTGCTCCACCGCTACACTCACCTCCAGCGAGATTTTCTGGCAATCTTCTATCGTTTTTCTATTCTGTTTCCGCCAACTTCATCTGTAACTTTGGTTCCTCTTGTGTGAAAATGACATTCGAGGAATTTATTGATAAATTATCTCTTGAAGCTACACTTTTCCTTTCTTTGTTTTTGTCCCTAATAAGTAATAACCCAATTGTAGTCTCTAGAAAGTGATGGGGATAAAAAAGTACCAATCTTTCCCCGACGCCACTGAGTTATGGTTTATGGGCCAAGGAGTTCTTGACCCCTAAAGAGGGGGCAAAAAGTGTTCCAGATAATGTAAAGATAATTTAGGAAAAGGTTGATTCTCAACTGTGTAATTGTTATGGTTGTCTCTATCTCATGAATTATTGCCTGTATATATAGCTTTTAAGTCATGTATGAATGTGGAACCAAGCTAAGGCCTTACACACTATTGATATCTCTCATTTATGTTGTGGTTGTTTGCTTAACCCAAGAAAAGAAGGTACACGTATGAAGTATGGAAGTATAGAACCCTCATAGTGAAGCTTTTAGGTAACATTATGCCAATTGGTGGGATAACTATAGAGCAATTAGTTTAATGTGAAGTTTTTTGGTGTGGTGCTTCTATTGTCCAGTCTTGGTTGATTTTAATTTAAAATAATCAGAATTATCAGATGAAAAGTACTTGAAAGCAATACTATTCTTGGCACCATAATCGTTCAAACAACTCTTGCAAGCTACCTCCATTGACTTATTCTTCTTAGAGGACATAGTACGGTCATAATAGCGAACATAGCGAACATGCTGGGCAAGGATTGCTTAACATTGGTGCAACGGGATTAATGCGAAGAAATGGGTAATTCAGGAGAGCGGCATTGGAAGCGACATGGAATATCAATTAATGTGGCTCCAAGTCTCCAACTAACTAAGTAGATTAGAGGATTCAAACAGTATCAGCTACAGAATATGGAGATATTGCTAGGTCTAAAGCCAAAGCGTTACTATTACCACCGAAGTACATCATGCTCTTGTATTCCAATATGATTCCCTGGACCACAGGTCTTGGTTTCAGGTGCTTGTGAACATAAGTCGGGAGACTCATTTTATTCACTAGCCTTAGCTGCCTTACATCCTCCATGCCCCTTTTTTGTTATATATTTGGAAATAGATTGAAGTGTACACCCACTGGAATTGGGGAGGTTTTGCCCCTTCTAAGTTTACCTTTGTCTTCAGTCTTTTACATATCTTAATGTGCATTCAATTCGGTTTCTGCCTGCAAGCTAATACTATCTTTAGATTTCATTGTCACATTTCCTTGACTCTGTATATGTGGAGGACCGTCGTTTTGGAAAGATGATATGCTCAAGGTATATGAGGAGGACCGTCGTTTTCAATTCGACTGCCTAAGTCTCCATTCCAACTTAGTGTTCACGCTGCTATTCTTCCTCCACCCCCTTGCTCATTATCGTCTAGGACATCATAGCATCAATAAATTACAACAACTTGTCCAAGCCTGTTTCGGCTGTCCATCTTATAATGTGAAACTTCTCAACTTGGAAAACCTTCTAGGGTGTCATTCTTAATTGTCCCAAGAAAAGGTCATACCAACTTTTTGTGTAGTTTATTGTGATCAATGGGGATCGTGATGTTTTACATGAATGTAAGTTTTAAATATCTTGTTATCTTTCTTTCATGGCACTGTCGGTTTTTCCAGTGCACATAAAATTCCCACAAAAGATCATGGAAAACTAGATATTTTGGTTACACAGATGCAGATTGGGCAGCCAGTGTTCGGCATAGAATGTCTACATCAGGAGTCCATCTGAACTGAAAGTCACATTCCTTCTTGTTTTGATGTGTGATAAAAGTTTGCAGTAAGAACTAGAATAGTAGAATCACTCCATTTATTATCACTAATTATTCTGGTTGAAATGATGTTCCATCCTTTGCAATGGAGCCAAAAACTCACTATTTTTGGCTTGAGAATATGATGGAATAAAGCAAAATGGCTCACTAAAACTTCTTTGTTATGAAGTAGCAGTCAGTCTATATAATTTTGATGCGATTTTCACTATGGGTCATTCATAAACAGCCTCTCTGTACTTTAGTACAGGGGTAAGGCTGCGTACATTCGACCCCCCCTTACCTCACCGTAGGTGGGAGCCTTTGCGGCACTGGGGTAATGATGATGATGAAGAAGAATTATTCTGGTTGAAACTTCTTCTTCATTTTAAGGATATTTGAGTGCTACTTTGATGCTAGTTGCTTTACCCTTCAAGTTATTCTTTCCCTGGAATGTGAACGGCATTGTGATGGACCTTTTTGTTTTTTAGGTTAAACTTTTGGGGCTATTCAACTGTAAATTTCTTTTCTCCAATGGTACGGTATTCATCAGCTGGGATGGACAAATCTGGTATTGGTGCCATACAAGAGTTCAAGTTTCTTGTTAGGGAGGCCCATAGAAGGGGAATCGAGGTGAAAAGCTCCCTTTCCCGATCTTTCATTATTATTTGTGTTGTGTTCTCCTGAACTCTTCTATTTATACTCCACCAGGTAATCATGGATGTTGTTTTCAATCACACAGCAGAAGGGAATGAGAATGGCCCCACACTCTCATTTAGAGGTGTTGACAATAGTATCTTTTATATGCTTGCACCCAAGGTATGTATTCTTGGTGTCTATCTTTTAGCATTTGTTATCTTTGTTTTTGGCATACAAACCATTATTTAGGCTATATTATGCAAAGTATGCTTTCTCTGATGCAGTCTCTTATGAATTCTTAATAGCTCAAATTCTTTCTGCTTCTTTTCCTTCCGTTTGTGCTTCTGCATACTATTTTTCACTAGACATGACTAAAAGTTGTTGTTCAGTGCTAGAAATTTTCATCTTCAGTATTAAATAAACATCCTATTTTACATAGCGTCTTCAGATTTATTCAGACAAATCTTTTATAAGATGATCTTTAATATTACTACCTTTTTATATTAACACCAACTTTCTCCTGTTCCGATGGTTCTTACCTTACTTTCATGAACATTCAAATGTGTGCCCTAGAACATTTCATGCTTCAGGTTCTATCAATCGTGGTTTCTTTTCCCTAACATATTTCTCAACATCCATCTTGAAAAAGTTAAAAACAAAAGAAACTATCAAATTCTAGATTATGCTTCTCTTTTCGGATTAATTGATATAGAGCAGGAGCTCGGCTTAGAGGAAAAGAGGTCAAGGCCCCTATGAATTTACCGAAGGCGGGGACGGGCTTGAGCCCAACTTTGTGGGCTGGCTGTTGGCTGGGGTTTTACTTTTACATATTATAAATTTTTCTAGTTTGGGCCTGTTATTAGTAGAGTATTTAAATATCTAATTAGGGTGTACTTATTTTGGGCATGTTTAGGGTTTCTGTTTTTGGTCTGTTGTTAGAAGGGTATTTTAACCCTTGTTAGGTTTCATTCTTGCTTATCAGTTAATAAAATTGGATTTCAGCCTATTGGCTCTGGGCAACGGTTTCTTCCGTTGATTATTAGTTTTCTGTTGTCAATTCTCATCATTAATATCTTTATTTTTTTACTTGAAAAGATTTTTTTTTTATTCTTTGGATGAAATAAGGATTCAAGATTTTATAATAATATAATATGTTAACTTTAATATTGTAGTGTACAAGTTAAGGCAATGTATGTAAAGAGCAAATCATGTGTAAGTTGGAAATATGTGAACTGTATTGTATGATAGTTTTTAACTTGTGATTTAACAATTTATCCTATAATTTTTATATCGTACTTTCGACCCCCCATATTCCACCATAGGTGGGAGCCTTTGCGGCACTGGGGTAATGATGATGATGTGGGGTAATGATGATGATGATTTTTATATTGAACCTGTAGGGAGAGTTCTATAACTATTCCGGCTGTGGAAATACCTTCAATTGTAACCATCCTACAGTACGCCAATTTATATTGGATTGCTTGAGGTCAGCCATTTCTCCTACCTTTTTATTCGGTATTTTGTTTTCACCACCACCACCACTTTAATCCAATTTATAGAATGTGAGAAGGAAAGTATATGTAGTTATGTGTAGTATATTGACGTACAATCCATCCTTATTTATTATCTTAACATAAATGTACGAGATAGGCTAAGCGCACTGTGATTAGAGTTAGGTTTCAACTTTCTCAAATTGTTGCAAAGTTTAAAAACACTAAGCACACCAAAGAAACATAGCACTTCTTTGCTTTGAAGAGAAAAGCAAAGCATCGCCTTTTCATAGAGCAAAGTGAATGTTTTAAAACCGATATTTATAGATTCAACACATAATAATTTGGTTTTAGAAGAAGTCATAACAAAAAAAGTACAATAACAACATCCAAGCCTTAATCCCAAAAGATTTTGGGGTCGACTAACATGAATCAATACATGATATCACAGTCAAAAGGAAAAGAAAGATAAAAAAGATAAGCTATGATAAAATGATCCTGTCCGGACGTCCGGACAGGAACCGCCGTCCGGCCAGCGGCGTTTGGCCGCCTTCCCGGTGGAATTTTTTGATGAAATTTTTATGGCATGTTCTCCATCAAGTCTAGTTTATCCACAAAAAAATTCAGCCAAAAACTCAATCGGGAAGGTCGTCAAATGATTTTTGCAAGTTAACTGGTCCGGAATATACATATTCCGGACCAGTTAACTTGCAAAAATCATTTGACGACCTTCCCGATTGAGTTTTTGGCTGAATTTTTTTGTGGATAAACTAGACTTGATGGAGAACATGCCATAAAAATTTCATCAAAAAATTCCACCGGGAAGGCGGCCAAACGCCGCTGGCCGGACGGCGGTTCCTGTCCGGACGTCTGGACAGGATCAGGACTCGATAAAAATGATAACATAAAGATAAATATAAGATAAAGATAAAAATGATAAAGTAAAAAAGATTATAAGAATTTATACTCCCTCCGTTCCATTCTACCTGTCTTACTTTCCTTTTTGGGTTGTCTCAAAATAAGTGTCACATTTCCCTTTTTGGAAATAAACATGTGGTTCACAACATTTCACTTTAGTATACTCAAACCTCAACCACAACTTTTAACTTTTCAACCACTTTATTAAAAATTGTGCCAAAACCAAAGGAGACACATAAAATGGGACGGATGTAGTATATAATAAAATGGATAAAAGGATAAAGAACATAACAAAGATAAAGAAAATAAATGGATAAAAAGATGATAAGGGATCAATCCTCCACACGAATATCCGCCCACCACTTTGTTCTCTCCAAAGTCATACTCTCATCCAACTCAACTCAAGAAGAAGCATATAACTCCTGATACATCTAATCCACGTCTGTTTGGATCTTCATTTTCCTCTCCTCCCCGCCTCTTCTCCACACCTCTCAACTCGTCTAATAGGTGCATCACTCAATCTTCTCCGCACATGACCAATCCACCATAATCGAGACTCTGCATCTTATCTTCAATAGGTGCTACTCCCACAGTTTTTCTGATTGTCTCATTCCTCAAATGGTCTTTACATCCAATGCAACATGCACATCTCTGCCACACTCATCTTTTTAATGTGACATTGTTTCACCGCCCGCTTCCCTTTGAACTTGTTGCTTTTGCCTTTCTTTTTTTAGAAGCACTCCCTTAGATTTGCAATATCTCCCTCAGCCATATCATCTTTATCAGAGAAAAGCATGTTGACCTGCTATTGCGATAATTACTTATCACATCATTGCGCTTTGCACAATAAGTCAGTGATTAGGCACTTTCACAGCATTGTCCAAATAAGTTTGCTACATATGTAATCTATTCTAGAACTTCTATGTGACTTTAACTCTTTTGGCTTCGTTTAATTTTTTATTGCTCTCATGCTTCAAAAAACTACTCATGAAAAAAGGAGAAGCTAAGGAGTCCTCATGTAACCACAAATCACTGGAGAATTTCCCAGAATATCATAACCAATTAACCATACTACATTTGATATACATCATCAGTATACACCGTAAACTCATATGTCATTTTTATGATATTTTCGTAAAAGGTGGACACATATGTCAAAATCCCAAAGCACAAGTTCAACTGCTAAAACAAAGGTTAATCATCACACAGCTTGCTGAAACTGGGAGACATAATGAACTGAGACAGAATCCATGTAAACTGCCAAAACCTGCATACTCTAATAATTGTGCGACTCCTAGTCAAAGATGGACTCACTGTTCCGGGTATGTCCTTAGGGTTTAGATTATATATCAAACCCTCTTTCTTAGCTCATATGAGAAAGACATCACCTGTATGTGTTTTGTACCAGCTAACTTCAGCATTGCGCCATGCCGGTGTCAATTTGGTTGGAATATAGCTATCGGGGTGTGTGTCAGCCCTTTTATACTTTGATACCATGTGACTATGCAATGAAAGGAAGAAAAGGCAATGGAGCTTATTTATAATACACGATAGTATATCACAATTCACATGCCAGTCAAATGGGTATTTATACAATTAGGTCTAACTCTTCAATCTTCATCTAACCAAAAACATTATCTTGTGTGGTGTCAATTTACACACAGAATTACATTATTATGTATGTTAGAGTACTCATTCACTTTTTATGGTTTCATGCGTGTATCAGTTTTGGTGGTGCAAAGAATATCCTTTTGTTTTTTGACTTTTTCATTTATGCTCGCCCTTTTTACCCAAGTTTTTTTTTTTACACACTGGTTACACCACCTTGCACTGTTTGATGGTGTACTCTTGGAAACAGTTTCTTTACTCCTATGGGTAGAGATGAGGGCTGCGTACATCTCACCTCCCCAGATCCTAATTCTGAGTAGTATATGCTGGGCATGTTTTCCTGTTTGTTTGGTGCTAAGGAGATTATAATGGAATGTGAGATGGATGTTTGTGCGATTGTTTTTTCAGTTATATTACTCAGCATGGTTATATGTCCGATTGTCCCCCCATGATTAATAACATCAGATGGGTTATCATCTGATAAAATATCCTGTATTAACGAAACATTATGATCTGCCTGTTGACAGGTATTGGGTTATAGAAATGCATGTTGACGGGTTCCGCTTTGACCTTGCTTCCATCCTGACAAGAAGTAGCAGGTTAATATGATGGACAAGGCTAATTATTATTATTTATTTGGAATATGGACAAAACTCACATGCATTTCTTATATTTCCAGTCTATGGGATGCTGTGAATGTTTATGGAAATTCAGTTGAAGGTGCTATGCTCACCACAGGAACTCCTCTCTCAAGCCCACCATTAATTGATATGATTAGCAGTGATCCAATACTAAGTGGAGTAAAGGTACTTCAATTTCTTATTCTCCTTGGGGCACCAAAACTTAAACCGTTAATCATTTTCTTCTATAAGACATTATAGTAAAATATGTATAATAGTAAAATATGTCGGTGGCAGAATTATAGTGAGTATTATAGTAAAATATGTATAATGATTTCCAAAGTACTGCGGCAGAATTTATGTTGAAATGTATTACAAACATTCATAGAACAGTCACGGCAAGTTTTGCAGCACACAGTTTTGCGGACACAGTAGTCGAGTGTTCTAATTCTCTTGTGTGTCTGTATATATTCAGTCTCTGAAATCTGAATCCGCTTTCAATATACTCTCTCTCTCTCTCTCAACAATTTGGTTTCTGCGTATCTATGCACATTTTAAGAGGTAGAAATCCTTCACTATATGAACCCAGTGACTTCGTAACCATTGTGCTACTGCTGTGCCAGGGTTTAGTAAAACAGTTCACCTCAGTTGTTATTTGTAAATATAGCAACTATAACCATTACTGGCATTATCATAATTATTACTGACAAGCTTGCCAAATGGACTTTTTACTATTCAACCAGCTTATAGCTGAAGCATGGGATTGTGGAGGCCTGTACCAAGTTGGTGCATTTCCCCATTCGGGTATATGGTCAGAGTGGAATGGAAAGGTCAGTTCAAATACAGTTTCCATCTTGTTTTAATACTTTATTTTGCTTCTTCCTATACCTTGTGGTCTGCTTTTTGTTGTTGCACTTCATCAATAATTAGTTAGAGGAGATTCTAGATGAGGTGCTTTATTTTGTGGTGATTATAGATCAGTCTTTCCATACTGTACGATTATTTAAGCCATCACGTTTTGTGTGTTATAATAAATCAAGCAATTGTGTCTCTTTAATGTCACTACTTCTCTTACATTTTTGTTTCTTTCAGTACCGTGACATAGTGCGACAGTTCATAAAAGGTACAGATGGGTTTTCAGGGGCCTTTGCTGAATGTCTTTGTGGAAGCCCAAATTTATACCAGGCATGTTGGAAGTTAAATGGTTTTAATCAGCAGCTATAATTTTGGAAATAGGTTGATCAATTGCTATAACTATTTTTCCTTTTGTTTAAAAGGAAGAAGGAAGAAAACCCTGGAACAGTATAAATTTTGTGTGCGCCCATGATGGCTTCTCTTTGGCTGATCTAGTGACATATAATGATAAGCATAATATGGCAAATGGAGAACACAACAATGATGGGGAGAATCATAATAATAGTTGGAACTGTGGCCAGGTAAATATGATGTATAACCTCCTTTGTTTTGCACAATGTTTATGACCAGAGGAGATAGGTATACTAACATAATATATTAGAGGATAGGCATACAAAGCACAAACATAGTGTAATAGAAGATTGGTATACCAAGTTAATAACACTGTAGTAGAAGATTCACATAATTTTAGTTTCATTGCACAATTATGAAAATGCTATCATTTCACTATATATATATATGCATGCATGTGTATATGTCAATACCTATATTTTTGTATATTTATGCATTTTCACCATGTTTTTATATATGTACGCGTTTCTACCTTGTTCTCGTTTTTCACGTTTTCTCTTTTCCGTTTCTGTGCTACGTAGTTGTCAATAATGTATAAACAATGCAAATTGAATTTAGTAAAAATATACACTATATATTTGATGGAATTCAGGAAGGAGAGTTTGCAAGTATCTCGGTGAAGAACTTGAGGAAAAGACAAATGCGTAATTTTTTTCTCTGCCTAATGGTTTCCCAAGTAAGATTCACTCTACAGTCTACACTTAAGGGTCAGCAGTTCAAAGGTATTTTTGTGCCTGTATATTTGTGGTCCCTACAGATAAACTCCTCATGCCTTATTTGACTGTTTTTGACACCTAGTATTATGAATGAAGTCTTTAAATGGTTATGTGGCTAGCCTGTCACTTTGCTGTATTACAGTCATGCATGACCTGTTCCAAACAATCTGCTAGCATAGTCAATACACAAATCTATTAGCCTTATTTGAAAACTGGGAAAACATAGCAGCTGGCAGGTTGGTAGATGTTTGGAGCCCATCTTGTGTTTTTTGAGAAAGAGTACTCATGTAGTTGACTTTGTTTTGAAATGTTACTTGAAGTGTAACTATTCTTTAAATATATGCTAGTGAATAACATTTTTGAGAATATGAAACTTCAAATGTTGTATATGCTTCTTTCACCCATCCGTGATCCCTGGGCTATTTCACGATTCAATCCCAAAGGGAATGAATTGATGGGAAAGATTTTGTTGATCGAAGTTGTGTTATGTACATGTATATGTACTACTCAGATTGACCCTTGGTGTAACTTTCCAGCTAAAGTGTAGATATAGTTGTGAACTTGTAATTGCCTAAATTACTTGTGAAATTTAATTCGATTGGGCATGAAGCCATTGATAGAATGAATAGTAAGAAAACAAGTTGAGGTGGAACTTCAAATGTTGGTAATCTTTCAATTTCACCAAAGATTAGATCAAACCCTTTAAGTTATAAGCCAACACCATTCCAACATTTCATATATTTAGATGTATTTCTATCCTAATCATCTCAGTTTCCCTGGTGCTGAGGCTATTTCCAGTCCTTCATGTAGATCTCTTTCAGCTAAGTCTATAGTCATCAGATGTTGAACTAAAGAGCAAAACAAAGAAACTATATCAGGCAATTATTTATGGCAACATTTAATACAATCTAAACCCATGTTAGGCTACCCCCCTCGCTCTAGTTTAGCATGTTAAGCGGTTCATCTTGCACTTGAAATTCATAAACATTAGGAACTACTGATGTGAAATTGATAAAAATGAGAAACTACTAAACAATTTTTAAGTAGTTAGTTCATAGTTAATTCGAGCCAATATGTTTTTGAGGAATAAGTAAACATATGGCATTAATTATATTATTTTCAATTTTATGATAAAAAGATGTCAAATACGTAGTATATATTTTGCGTTGACTCTTAGGGTCATTGTTTCTAGCAACCTGGGCCAATGTAGGATTCATAGATTTAAAAATCCTAATTGCTCATAAAAGAAAGAACATCACTTATCAATGTTCTAGGTGTTATAAAGCTCTTAGTCTAACTGCGTAATCACATGAATAACTGGCAGGTCAGAGGTTTAACTTGCATATCATAATGTCACAGTTTAAATAAGTATACTTATAATCCAAAAGCTTGATGGTAGATTAGCAGCAATGTTGCATTGATAAAAGAATGATATTGCCTGTGTTTTTTTATACATGTAAAGCAAGTATGGGACTGAGTTCTGAAAGAAATATTATTTGCACATAAACACCATTTGGCTGGAGTACTTAAGTGAAGTTGATTAACTTATGTATCATTCTGGCCTTGCATTCCTCAACTGAAAATATACCATGTAACGACATTATAGTTCCTGAAAAATTAAAATATTCTAGTTTTGTCTGTAGATTTAAGCATTTTGACTAAAATTGCTATAATTTTTTTATAACTTGTTATTGCTAGCTGGCTCTATTATTTGGTTTTATAATTTTTCTGCTTTTTTACTATTTTTACTTCAGGGTGTTCCGATGTTCTATATGGGTGACGAGTATGGCCACACAAAAGGAGGAAACAATAATACATATTGTCATGATAATTATGTAATCACGTTATGTCTTTTTATTGAATTGCATCATTTGCATGTGTCCTTTAATTACAAGGTGTAAGTGTGTATCTCTCGATGTAGATTAACTACTTCAGATGGGACAAGAAGGATGAATCCTCTACTGACTTTTTCAGATTTTGCTGCCACATGACCAAGTTCCGGCAGTAAGTATATTATTTTTCATTGTTTTTCAATTTCATGCTATACCTTCTTTAAGTACTCACTACTGCCTGGTTTCCAGTGAAGCCGAGTCACTTGGTTTAGATGATTTCCCAACGGCCGAGCGGCTACAATGGCATGGTCATGCTCCAGGGATGCCAGATTGGTCTGAAGCTAGTCGCTTTGTGGCTTTTACACTGGTATTGTTTTATGCACATTTCTATTGATTGTGCTCTCAATAAAGCCATTTCAGTAAACAGTTGGGCATTAAATCATGTAATTCTTCGTGTTAGTCAAAGTTGACAAAGTTATGAGGGATATATGAATGTTGATTATAGCACTCATCATATTGATTGCATGTCCAGGCCACCACACATATGCTTCTTTGTTCACTTTCTGAGTCACTTGCAGGTTGACAAAGTTAAGGGAGAAATATATGCTGCCTTTAACACAAGCCATCTGCCTGTCATGGTTACACTGCCAGAACGAGCGGGTTATAGGTGGCACCCCTTGGTGGACACGGGCAAGCAAGCTCCGTTCGATTTCCTTTCCGATGATCTTCCAGATAAGAAAGCGGCAATAAAACAATACGCTCATTTTCTTGATGCCAACATGTACCCCATGCTAAGCTATTCTTCCATAATTCTCTTGCTCTGCCCTGATGATGAAAACAACTCTTAAGAAGCATGTGGATGAGGAAACCTGAGCATATATCTCATTATGTGCTTTCTATATACGCATCCAATGTGTGTATCACTGTCAAGTTAAATTGTATATTGCACAATGATACAATAAACTTTGATTGCATAATTTATGTGGCTGAAATTAGTGAACTGGACATGTATTTCATATATTCATTATGGCCCAACAAAAGTTAACATATGTAAATCCAACAACCGCAACTTTCTAGACTTAATTCAATGAGTTTGGGATCGGCTAACATGAATCTATGACATCAGAGTAAAAAACAAATAATACTCCCTCTGTCCCAATAGATTATTCCAACTTTTCCTTTTTGGTTGTCCAAAAAAATTGACCACTTTCCAATTAAAGTAACTAATTTGTGCCTTTTGTGGTTATGTTCATTTTTCTCTCCTCTGCATAAACATTATTCACACAACTTTTACTTTTTCTATTTCTACATCAAAATTTGCAAAGCTCACCGCGGCGGAGGTAATAATCATAATAAAGTATGATAAATTAAAGAGAAAAGAACTATCGAAAATAGCCTCTTGATTATTTTTATTCTTTAGTGAATAAGATTAAGTGAATACCGACGGTTTTTACGTAAATGATAAGTAGAAGGGCGGTGCTCCTGTAAATTTCTCTAGATTAGGGGCTATTGATATCATAAGAATGATTTCTTATTTATGTTAGTAATATACTAATTTCTATTAGGGAAAACTATCAATTAGTCCTTGTACTGTCATGAAAAAGTCAATTAGGTTCTCGTATTTTTAAAAAGATCAATCAAGTTCCCGAACTTTGTAAAAACGTTCTATTTGCAGGTTACTTGCCATGTGGCAGTCCAATCATCAATAATTTTGTTGATGTGGCACACATGTGGAAGTCTAGTCAGCCATTTGTTGATGACATGGTGCACATGTGGACCACCATGTGTACTCAAAACGTTTTTCCATTTCTTTTAATTGTGTATAGTTAAAAGATGACTAAATCATTATATTTAGTTGTAATTTGGAGTAGTATTAATAGGAATGGTTCGGTACGGCATACTGAATATTTTATCTCATATCTTTGTCGTATAAAAAATTTTGGTATAAAAAATTACATATCATTACCGAAAATTTTGATTCAATAAGGTACAATATCGATGCTTCAGTTAGGAAGGGGGCGAGATGTGTGGGCTTGGCGTGGGTGGTGTGAAATGGAGTAGGAACTTTTCGGAGGAGCCACTAATCGAATTGGTGAGCGTCTACAAGGGAGGCTGAGGCGCCATCAATGAGGGAGCCTCTCAGCTGGATTAAAGAAGCGGGATGTACTAATATTGATGTGGAATCCAATGCATTTCAGCTCGTTAAGGCTATACGGGAAGGATTAGATGACTCTTCATTCGGGATGATTGTTAATGATATTAGAGAAAAATCAGCCTCTATTGCTAGCATAAAGTTTGCTCATATGAGACGATCACTGAATCGCGTAAGCCATGATTTAGCAAAGGCTGCAGGTTCTATGTCTGCTTGCTATGTTTGGCATAATACTCCCCCGATTGTATTTTGTCCTCTTTGAACCATGATATCATTAATCTAAGTTGAAAACTTTCCTTTTTTAAAAAAAGAAGGTACAATATCAGTAAATTATCATGCATGTCTTTTAATACAACAAGTTATCACCCAGTAACAAAATATACAAAGTCGTTGTTATTAGCAACATATTAAATCCATTGTTAAAAAATTACAAAATACATTAAGGGAAAAGATCATGTGAGAAGCGTGCTTTGACTGAAAATTGTGAAGTTTTAACTAATAGAATCAATAAAGTAACTTATAAAAAAACATATTATAACTTCTAACTCCACAACCCAGAATAAAATATAGCTTCGTAGTGATAAACTACGGAAAGAAAAATATGAAATTACGAAGATAATAACTAGTAGCACTTGGTACTCTATACTTTTATATTTATTGAGTCATGAATGCATTTAAGACATTTTTATTAACTATTAATTCATTAAATTTAACTTATAAAATAGAATATATAACTTTTATAAAAATATGCACCTTCATGTGATAAATTGAGTATAAGACTGCCATGAAAATAAAGAATAACACTTGAAATGCTATGCTTTTTAGCGAGTCATAAATGCATTAATGACATTTTTTATAAACAACTATTAATTCATTAAATGTAACTTATAAGGGTTTTTTCCAAAAGTATTACTCAAATAAAACCTATTTACACATATATGACTAATACTTACTACAATGTAGTACTCTGTATCATGGTAATTTAAGTTTAAAAATTAGAGCCCGTTTGATAACATGCAAATCGACTGATTCTGCTGAAAATTTATGAAGTTCTGGTTGGAGTGGCTGTATTGATTGAGTCTGTTGATTTAAGAAAAAAAATATTTTTAAAATATATTTTATTAATAAAATAAAGAAAAAATTATACTCCCTCCGTCCCATTTAAAGGTTCCCGTACACTATTCTCCGGTCAACGTGCATTGTTCTTAATCTTTTACTTTTTATATCTAAAGTTTATGAAATTTAAATTATTTTTTGCAGGTTTTGTAGCGGGTTTAATGTAGTTTCTGAATATGTAAATTTTATTTACTAAAAATAATTCTATTAATGACAGGGATCAGTTAACTTTATGGTCAGTCAAACATCGTAAATCGTGTGGGAACCTTAAAGTGGGACGGAAGGAGTATGTAAAAATAGCTAAAATGATGATCTACAGTAACTGCAGCCAATACAGCCAGAAAAGTAACTTTAACCTTACTTTTTCTTATTATTACACTATTCAGCGCGCAGAAACAAAAGTTACATGTTTGGTGGGAAAAAGTTGTCTGATAAGCCTGATAAACTGAAAACAATGTTACCAAACGCCTCCTAAAAATAAGTTACTTTGATTTCTTCACTACGCTGATCACTAATCACATTTTTTAAAACACTTTTCATTCTTGTAATATTTATGTAATTATTTCAACTTATAAAGCCAAATACGTAGAATATAATATTTACAACATTAAATTACTCTACAGTTTTTTAGCTTTAGCGGATAGCAGATTATGTTAGCGGGTTGTCAATAACGGATTCAGAGTACGTGTTTGACTAACAGAATAAGTTGACGGGTTGCTAGAAGATGTTTGACAATTTAGCTGTTTGGCCATAAAATTAGTAAAAATACCATATTTCGAATCACTAATTCAAAACTCTCCTATTTGCAGTGTTTCCATTTCAGCGTTTCTGTACAAAACGCTAGGGACGAACAACTATTTACCAAACAACGTTTTCATTTAAGAAAAAATGTTAAAAGTGGTCAAACCCCCATTTTTTTGTCTGAATCATGATTTTTCAAACACCTCATTTGTCTCATTCAATATTGAACAATAATTATTCTTAGTATATTTAAGCACTCCAACTTACCACATACTCCGTACGTAATATTAAAAAATAAAATAACACATTCTCCTAAAAAGTAATCTAAATAACATAGATATAATTAGATCAATAATGATATGTAACACAAAATAAAATTATTCAAATACCATGGATGAAAATCATTTATCTCTAAGATGATGTAGTGTATCTAGTCATTTTTTATAATTTAAATAAAATAGTTTAAATAAATTTTTAGATTTATCAATATACTTTTTACTTTCAAAACATACCATTCCAAAAATTTCAATGTACTTAAATTTTCGATAAATTTATTCTCTCTCAAAATGATAAATATGGTACATCAAACTTTCGGTATTTTCTCCAACAATCTTATGGTAAACATAAGATTGTTTATTAATGGTAAATAAACAAAGATTAAAGACATGACAAAAAAGGTCTGCAGTCTCGCTCGCAACATCTGGAGACTTCTAGAGTGAAATATTTCTTCTAGTTCCCTCCATTACCAACCTGAAACCCCTCCTCTCTATAAACTTTCCTCACCTCAAAACCGCGGTTAATTTTGCATATCAATCATTCATGCGTTAAACACCATTCGAATTCAAGGAGACGAGCTATAATAATATAGTGAAATTAGATTAGATTCGCGGCTCTCTCATTATAATTAGGGTTTTTGTAGAAATTGCGCTTTGAAGAAGAAAAATCGGCTTCCGGTTTTGGCTCATTCCTAAGATTAGGAGGGGAAGAAGATGAAGATGGAGAGTAATTGCCCGCTGAAGATGAAAAGAAAGGACCTCGAACAAGTGTCCGACGAATTCTCCGATTTTTCCCTTTCTGCCCCCGCTAGAAAAATCCGCCGTCTGGTACTTTTGAATTCTGATCTTTTGTGTTCGTTTGTATATTTGGAATTAGAATAGCAAACTGTTAAATTAATTACTAGCAACTAGTTAGTTGAAATTATCTTGTGCTAAAGTCAGATCCTAGCTGACCTGAACATTCTAAAATGTTTCAGGATGCTGAGTTGCCTCCCATATTGGAAGAAGTTGAGGATTACCAAGACGTTCCGATAGCAGAATTTGAGCCATATCCCAGTGGGCAGAGCTTCGGAAGCCATGTAGGAAGGGGCGTAGAGATTGAGGAATTACCAAATGAGCCCTTTGAAAAGGAGACTGCTATTGTGCTTTTTAAGCCAGTTGATACACCTCTCTTTCAATCTCCTCAGAATTTCTCTGTGGATCCTAAGTTCATTTCTCGGTTAAAAAGTAAGTGCTGATTTTTCCTTTCTCAAATGTCTGTAATAACATTGTCCTCACCTGTGTTGAGCTCAGGTTGTTGTTGAAATTCAGATTTAGATGAGATAATGATAACTGATTGCTTTTCCTGTATGCAACGAAATGATATATGATTGGAACTGGTTTTTGAACTGGCTTTAGTGTTAGACTTTTGGTTGATTTTGTAAGTATCAAAGAAAACTAGAAATGAAGTTTCTAATATTGGCTCTGAAAAGTGAAAACTGTTCGTCAAATGTATGGTGCTCATGTTGGAAACCTGAACATACTAGCAGTATCATTTTTATGTTATATGGAGTATTAACATAACACGGAGTAATTGACATGCCTTGTTCTGGTTTTCTGGGATACTAACTAACCACATTGAGTGCGTTGTGTTTGATTAGATCATGCACCATGGAGAAGACAATCTTATTACTCACTGGCACAAGCTGAGGATGAAGAACCAAAAGAAACGGGCAACTCAGATGAGTGCTTAGCTGTTGTTCCATGGGTGCCATCTCAGTTAACCGCATCAGGACCTCATTGTGTTTCATCCCAAACTGACATTACCGAAGACATGATGATGGATGCTGAAGACTTGGAGGGAGCAACAATGGAGGTTGAAGACAATGACATTTCTACTGAGGGAAGGGGCATCCATGATGTGTCTGCTTCAGTAATGGCTGGGAATGAAGGGTGGCAGCAGTGGCAACAACAGCACTGCATGGTCCCACAGCCTCTCCAGAACGTATCCACTCCCATAACCTGGTACCAATGATATAACTGTGTGTTCCTATCAGGTGTCATGTAAGGATGAATGGTTTAGGAATGGAGGTGGAGTAGTAGTGTTCCGGATTTATTGATAAGGGGAAAATAGGGTGGTTGTAAGATGACGAGTACAACCGCCACATTAACTCTTCCATGTGCAACCTGTGAATGAATCCAAGTGTTGTGCAATGCCATGGTGCTTTTGGCTCTCTTAGAGATAAAACTAGCTCTGCATTACAAGTTCTGAAAATTTATGGATTAAACATGAGTTTTGCATTGCCTTATATTAATTGACTGCGAGGGACTGAGTTAGGCACTACTTAGGCATGGACCCGGTTTGGGCCGCCCGGCCCGCCACTGTGCGGGCCCAGAACCGGCCCGGTTCTCGGGTCCGGGTCGGGCCTAGGCCTGCTGGGTGGGGCTGGTCCGGGCTCGGGCCTTGTATTTGGCGAACCAGCCGGGTCGGGCCCGGGCCCGGGCCGAATTGATTTTTTTTTCATTTTTTGGGGTTAGCCGGGTTGGGCTTGATGGTTAGGAGGGGTTTGGGGGTTGGGGGGTTTGGGGGTTGGGGGGGTTGGGGGTGAGTGGGGGGTTAGGAAAGCAAAAAAAAAAAAAAAAAAAATTATGACCGGACCCGGTGGCTACCCGGACCGGTCCCGGGCCTTCCTTCCCAAAAAAAAAGTCCGGCCCGGGTCCATGACTAGACTGAGTTAGTGCATCATTCTCTTAGGTATCATAGCTAACATGCGGGCATCCATTAATGCCTTATGTTTGGGTGGAAATCTGTGATGGGTCGCTCGTATTTTGAACTCTGGGTGGGTTACTTTTTCCCTGAACTATGGCCCGGTCACTGTTTGAACCGGCCCGGCCCGGCGGCTACCGGTTCCGGGCTCGGGCCTTCATTTTGGTGAACCAGCCCGGCCGGTTCGGGCCCGGTCCGGGCCGGATTTATTTTTTTTTTTTTTTGAATTTTTTTTAAGTTTTTGGGTTGGATTGGGTATTTTGGATCATTTGAGGTGGTTTGGGGGTGGTTTGGGGTTGAAGGAGAGGGTAGGGCCGTAGGGGTTGATTAGGAAAATCCAAAAAAAATATATATATATAGAACCGAACCGGGCCCGGCCCGAACCGGACCTGGGGGTTACCCGGGCCGGTTCCGGGCCTCCCCTACCTTGAACCGAGGCCCGGCCGGTTCAAGGCCCGAACCGGGCCCGGCCCGAACTGAGTCCACCCTTAATTTGACGTGTTTTACTTGCTGTTGCAGTCTTGGTGTCTGAACGTCTTGATGGGGCACATGTTATTTTTTTTATTCAAAACGAATTAGGAAAGTAAAATAAAAAGTTCAGCTTTGTCCCTTTTATCTTGAAGCAAGGTTTGGTGGGCATTTTTTGGTTTGGTTTGGTTTTTTCAGAGGTTTTTTCCGCAATGAAAAATGTCATTTCATTAAAAGGCATTACAATCGCAAAAAGAAAAAAGAAAAATAATAATGATAGCAACATATAACAAAAATGAAAAAGTGACATCATCATGCAAAGTTGCAAACACATGCCAATCCAGTAAAATAGCAGCATCACACCAAACAACATGCCAATACATGCTTAAAACCACTGAATAGCTTTAATAAATTTCATAATGTTGTTTAACCTAAATGTCGGTTTTCAGGACTAGAAAACAAAGAATTAATGAATAAGGATTAATGTTTTTGGCTACAAATTAAACATGTTCTTCATTACTGGCACGTGAACCACAATGTTCTTCAGCATCCACAAATAGGGATGATCCTTTCTGGGATCAGCCAGTTCTGGTCAGGGGTTGGTAGATCGGAACTTAAACTATAAAAACTGGGATCCTGTTCCATTCCTAACCTGATTGCTGACCAATTTTCCTTTTTATTTCTGAGCTTTCTTTTATTATAAACAAAAATTGGAATCGATTTCAGTGAGCTATTTTGGCGGAACAGGTTTCAGAATCAATTCTGGATAAGTTTCCAGTCGAGAAGTGAGAACTTTGTATCAGTCCCTATGGCAACCATTATGCTTCCTCACTTCCTCCCACTCTCAGACTCGTTCTGGTCCGATTTGGGAATTAAAAACGGATCAAACCCCATCTACATGGTGCATTAGAATTTCAGAGGGTGTCCACCCCTACCCCTAAGCAGCCGTTGATTTTTTTATCAGACGGCCAATATTAGCCAAGCACATGTTCATCTTCAGGAAAATGAAGATTTTAACAAAAGAGCCTGAATGCGTTGCTTTACACCACACCAATGCAATGACAACCAAAACAAAGCATCAAATAACCCATTCAAAACCCCCAAAGATAAACGGAATAATAAAAACAAATCCCAAGAAAACACTTCAAATCATAATAATAATCCATAGCACATGTGTCTCAAATCTAGTGAACTAAATTCATGCCAAAACAGCGCTTCTCCAAAAACGTATAGCATTCAAATAACCCATTAGAACAATCGCAATTGCCTAATCGAAGAGTGTGAACCCCATGTCTTCATCACTCTCTTCTTTCTCTTCTACCTTTGCTTCTGCAGGAGCTGCTTCAGCCGGGGCTGCACCACTAGCAGGGGCTGCAGATGCTCCACCTCCAAAACCTGCTGCAACAACAGCTCCGCCAATAATCACCTGAAAGAAATGAAGCAAAATTTAGAGCAATAAAAAACAAAAGAGTACTTTAGCTTCAACACAATATCGAAATCTTAGAGCAGTGAAAATGAATATCAAGAGAGCCAAATCAGTTTGGGTCCTGTCTATGGAAATTAAATTTAAACAAATATCAAGCACACAAACTTAGTCCAGTACATGCAAATATGCAAATGGAGTCAAAACACTCTGTTTTTTGGCTTGGAAACATGATGGTATAAAGCAAAATGACTCGCTAAACTACTCACACGGAAACAGTCTTTGGGTACAAGGGTAAGGCTACGCACATCTGACTCCCTTACCCCCACTGTAGGATCACCTTTGTGGCATTGGGGTAAGGATGATTATGATGATCAAATAAGCAAAACTAAAAAAATTGGTTATGAATCTAAATACAATGAGAGCTGTTTAATGCAGGCAACATCCTAAAAAAAACTTCAAAAGTTCTGGAGGAAAAAATGACGCATGAAGGTGCCATAACTCTTCATTAGTAAAACAAGTATCAACCTAATAAGGAGTTGTAATTAATGAACATAACGCAAAATCGCAAATCAATCCAAAAATGTTAGTTTTGAACCAATAATGCAAGAAGGAATAAATACTTGAAAGCTTTCAGCACATTAAGGCCATTCTGCTCAAGTATTTTACATACACCTGATTCAATTCCTAAAATTCTAATCGCTTATAATATTAATCAAAAAAGTCTGGAACAACGCCACATCACAGAAACACAAGAAAATTTTCAGAAATCAGAAACGAGAACGCAAAGCATATCACTAAAGTCACAGTTAAAAATAGATCTGATATATCATCTAAACTTGCACACTTAGATGACATGCATATCAATTCAACCGAACCTGGAAAACGGCGGAGTTAGGGCAGACGTAGGAGAAAGATGACTGGACGCCGCCGGAGCTGTCTTCTGCTAGAGCAGTCCGAACAAGCTTGCGCTGTAGCTCGTATGTAGATCCGGCGGAAGCTTCGAGGTCGCCTTTAAGCTGCTTCGCAGTCCACTCGCTGCCGGAGGATCTGCAGACGAATGTAAACACTCCCATTTTATTTTATGAAATTTCTCAATATCGAACCTGTCTGCGTGAGAAAGAGTATTCGTTACGGAGTAATTGGCATTGCTCGCCGGACTTTGAAGAAGAAGTGAAAAAACCCTAAGTCATTGAAATGACGTATTAACCCTCGATGTCACTCCAAATTCACGATATCAGTTCCTTTCTTAATTTGGTCATATCGACCCTGTTTGGTAAATGACTGTTAGCTATTGCGGTTAGCTGTTTGTGTCAGCTGTTTCCTAATAGCTGGTTGTGTTAACTGTTTTGACCGACTGATTATATTAGCTGGTTATAAATAATTGTTTGGTAAAATTGGCTGTTTCAAAATGACTTATAGAGTGTAAAAAGACATATAAAAACATGATAATACTTATTGTGATAAGTATTTTATCATTGTTAATAATGAAAATTTTATAACTAGTATTACTTCATAGATATAAATAAATCATTTGTATATTTGTAATTTTTAAAATGTGTTGAATAAAGAGGTTTTTACGAGAATATTACTAAAATAAAACTTATTTACATAAATATGATTATTCATGTTCAAAACTTGAACATGAATTACAATGATTTCATGATTTCATTACTACTCTAGTAATGAATTATATTTTTGTAAACCATCTTTATTTTGGTCATATTTATATAATTATTTCTTGAATAAATTCTATTTTAATTCAAGAGAAAAGACATAACTAACACGTAGTAATATAAAATAATACTCCCTCCGTCCCGCCATGATTATCCCATTTTACCTTTTCGGTCCGTCCCACTAAGATTGTCTCATACTCTATTTGGTAAAATTTGTGTGGTTCTAAAGTATTCATACTTTATTCTTACTTTATTATCAATTCAATATCAACCACATAAATCAACTTTTATTAATAATCGTGTCACTTTCTCTTGTCCCAAACTTAGGGGGACGGAGGTAGTATACCGGAGTAATATGTTAGTTAAGCATATACTACGTACGTATTATTTTTTCAAATAGTATTTGGTTTTACAAATACTTAAATCATTAATTTAGAAAAGGGTAACCCATGCCAAAAGAATGAAACAAAAAGAGAGAACTGCAAAACAATTAGTTACGTAAACTTTGGCTAACCAAGGAAAAAGTTACTTTGGACATTGGACATTTGGAGCCGTATACCCCTGGTGGGAAAATCTGAAGAAGCCGAATAGAAACGGTGCCCTCCTTGGCTTCTCTTACCAGCCATTTTTTTCAGCTTTTGGGACTCAACAAGTCAATCTAAAAAGTCATCTACCAAACATAAATATTGGATGCTTTGACTAATGAAACAACCAATATTGGTCAAACAAGCTAAAAGCTGGTTGATAAGTTATTTGCCAAACATACCCATTGAATTTGAATTTAATTTAATATTTATTGACAAATAAATTGTGGAATTGTAATTTGGATATTAATTAGGAAAAATTCACATGAATAATCTCACCTTTTGACTTTCTTCCAATAATAATCTCAACTATGAGTAATTCTAAAATAATCCAACCTATACATGACATCTTCTCAAAATAGACCCATGACCGGAATTAAAAAAATTAAGAGATTGTTTGTCCACGTGTCTTTATATAATTGGATTTTAGATGTTTAAAATCCACGTGTCTTTCTTTTCCTTTCTTCTCTCCTGTAAGACGCCCCTTCTTCTTCTTCTTCTTCTTCTTCTTCTTTCCACCCAATGTGAAATCTCCTCTGTTCTCCCATCCCTAACCTACTTCTTCTTAATTTCTTTGTTGCTTTCTCTATTTCTACCTCTTCTCACCTTCTTCCTTATTTCTAATTTCTATACATATTTTTGTTTCCCGGCTTCCTTCATCTTCTCCTATGAAATTTATGGAGCAATTCTAGATTTCTAAATACATGAGCCTTGATGAAACTTTTGACCAAATTAGATCAACTTGGCTTTCAACGCCAGGCCACCATCTTCATCTCCCCTCTCCTTCATTTCCGTTTTCTTCTAGGTTATAATTCTGGAGAAAGATCATTTAATTGAGGCATCCAAGGATTTCCACCTAATTAGACGAAAACGAATTATTGTTGTTGTCAGTAGAATCAGCTTCGTCCATACCCGATCTTTATACTTTTTGGACTGTCCCTCACCTCACCCCAGATTCAAAGATTAGATGAAGGCAATCTGGCTAGGAATGGGAAAGTTTGTTTTGGGAAGGATTGTGACCGGCGGATCCACACCCGATGACCATATTATTGTTCTTCCTTTTCATTTTCCAATTTTGTTTACCGGTGTAACCAGTAGTGGGTAAATGGGATCAATATGAGAAGACCTCACGTCAATTTGGGATTATTATAGAATAATGCATATTTGGGATTAATCTTGGAAGAACGTTAATAGTTGGGATTATTCTTGTGAATTTTTCCTATTAATTAAAGAGATTTTTTTACTTAGAAGCTAAACGTGGTTCGCTAAACATAAGTATAACATTTTCATATATTAAAAAATTACGCAAATTATATTCTACACTTGTATGTAGTTGTACATCCATTATTTTTATACTCCGTAATATATTTGAACTTTGATCCTGTTAATAAAATCTTCTCATCCCTGATGTATGACTTACCCCTACTTGTGCGGTCTTTTTTTAAAGGATCTGGAACCTCTGCCTTGTTTTGCAGCAAAAGTAGGGTGTTGGGCTTTGGAAGGCCGTCCGATAAAAAAATTAACAGGGATAGACTTCGACGGACCACATCTCGAGGCGTCCTTTTCTTCATCCGCTCATCCGTTGTCACAAGGCACCTATGTCGAGCAACAGAAGATCGCAATCCTTTTTTTAACCTTCTTACGTAAGCAAGCTAAGGTTTTTGTCCTTTGAGTCTTTCTTGTTGCTTTCTTTTTTCTTTTTCTAACAACCTTTAACAATAGTTTTAATTTATGAAAATGTGAAATATAATTTAACGTCCCAGCTTCCTTATCTTTTAATTTTCTTTTTATAATCAACCTTCCTTTATAACTTAATATTTCTTTAAATTTTGCATTGTAAAATATTTTATATATCATTTTTTCTCTTTTTTAATTTTAAGATGAATATTTATTAATTTAATAATTTTTTTGTGCTAACAATTTTAATATTGTGTACATGCGAATTAATAACATGAGTTTTGTGTTAAAATAAATATAGTGTTTTGTAGTTGAATGAGTTTAGTGTTTAAAATAAGTGTGGATATGTAAATATTACAAAAAGAGTGATTAATTTTGTAATTCAAGAATGACAAATTATAAATTATTTTAAAGTTCGAATTTAGTATATTTCTCATTGTTATATATAACGATAGTTTAGTGAATTGTTAATAATGAATCTATTATATGTGCACATATCAAAATGAGCTTTTGACTTTTTTTTATACTCATGTTGTAAAGGAAAAATAGGTAATATTAATCCCAACTATACCCGATCCGCTTTTAATAATCCATAGTTTTGATTATTTCCCTGTAGTCCCAACTTTGGGCCCCCTTTTCCTAAAATACTTCCGCCTACTTAATACCGGCAAAACCGGTAAATTAAACTTTAAACATCACAAGCGCCTCATGCTTCAGTCTCTTTACTTCTCACCTACCTCATATCAGTCACCGTTCCTATCCATAAAAACCCCATCAGAAGAAGCTTAGGTGAGTTTGTTCCGACCGGAGAGACAAATCAGAAGAAGAACCGGGCACGTTGGATCTTTGTCCTTGTTCTCACGGTGGAAGGTAAACACTTATACTTGTAATCGGAAATATTATTGCATTCAAATGAAGTTGGACTGAAATGAACTTGTAACCTAATTGTCATTCCAGATTTTAGGCTTGTATGATTGTGTTCATATAATTTTGTGTACATTAGTTCATTAACAATTTTCCATTTATTTATAGGTCATACTACTCAAATGGAACACAATTTGAGTTTATTGAAATGAAACTGAAATAAAATTTAAATTTATTTATTTTGTATAAGTTGTACTAAATTTAAATGTCATTCTAGATTTAGGGTTGTATGATTGTGTTCAAATCTTGTAAAGACTTAAACTTGAATCTTGTGTAATATATTCAACTGAAATGAAGTTGTACTGAAATGAAGCTGGAATTAAAATGTCATTCTTGATTTTAGGGTTGTATGATTGTGTTGAAATGCTGCTTGTGTAGACTAGTTCATTAACATATTTCCATTTATTTATAGATGATACTTGAGATGGCTACTTCAATTGTGATTATAATTAAGATGTGGCATGGAGGTATCTTTAAGCACAACAACCAGAAATATTTGGAGTATGTAAATGGTGATTATAAATGCTTTGACATCGATGTTGATGAGTTGTACGTGTTGATTTTGGTTAGAAGAGGTAAATGTGGGAAATATAAAAAGCATTGAGGATATTTACCACTTGATTCCTGATCAAAGTTTAGAGAAAGGTTTGAGAAGGGTTAAGCTTGATGATGAAGTCAGGGAAATGTACAAAGTAGCTATGCAATATAAGATCATTGATTGCTATATAAGACATGGACTAAGCTCACCAGAATTGGTGCTACTGCTTGAAGGTGGTGGGGATAATGAGGGGGGGGGAGATGGAGTTAATGAGGGGATAAAAGGGACTTCAAGAAGTTCAGGTCTAAGTGAAACTCAACCAAATGCAAGGAAGGCAGCACAAACCTCCACTTCACAACCAAACACCTCAAGAAGTGAAGATGGACTGGAAGATGAAGTTATGGATTATGAGGCTTCTGACTCTTCAGGGGATGTGGGAGATGAAGATGGTGAGGACTTAGAGGTCCCACTTTTTGGATTAGATCAAGATACAAGTGATGAGAAATTAGAGTGTCAAGAAGAAGAGTGAATGGCTGGAACTCCAAGATTATGCAGATAGCCAAACAACAGCAAAAAGAAGCAGGTCAAGGAAAGTTAGGTGATTCACCCCCCCATACACAGTACAGGAGGAAGAAGATGCACCTCACACCCAATGTGTGAGGAAGAAGATGCACCTCACACCCAATGTGTGAGTGACTATGAAGAATCAGGTGATGATATTCACACACCTCCTGGGAGTGATGGAGATGACAATCTATCAATAACAAAGAAAGATAAAATTCCTTTGGTGGAAGCAAATATTGACTTCAAGTTGCTGAAATGGAAGGTTGGAATTTGATTTGAAAATAGGGAGAAGTTTAAAGATGTTGTGGCCAGATTTGCCATTGCCCAAGGAAGAAATTTCAAGATCAATGTAAGCCACAAAGACCGACAATAAAGAATAGGTGCAAGATGTGTAGAAGGCTGTCCATTTAGACTGTATGCTAGTTGGGACAGTAGAAGAGCATGCTTTGTTGTTAAAAGTGTAATGGGAGAGCACACTTGCAACAGAAACATGAAAAAGAATAGACAATTTAAGGCTCCCTGGGTAGCACTACAATTTTTGGAAGTTTTCAAGTCTAGATCTCACTGGCCTACAAATCATGGAAACCATTAGGAGAGCTTACAAAGTGCTAGTGAAGAGAGACTTTGTGTATAAGGTCAAGTATCATACCCATAGAAAACTTCATGGAAGTATGACTGAACACTACAACAAACTTGGAAGGTACTTGGAAGCTCTTAGTCAAGCTAACCCCCACAACTACTTCAAGCTCTTCACAGACCCAACAATAAAGAGCTTCCCTCCTACATTTCAGAGATTCTTTGTGTGTTTCAAAGGGGTTAAAGATGGATGTTTCATCAAAACATTTTTAGGTGGGATGTTATTGTCTGCCATTGGGAGAGACTCCAATGATCAAATGTTTCCAGTACCCTGGGCAATAGTGGAAGGGGAAAACAATTCAAGTTGGGAATGGTTCTTAGGTGAACTAAAAAAACTTAGAGTGTTGTTGATGCTGACCTCACATTCATTTCAGATGAACACCAGGTAATATTATGAAGCTGTTTGCTATACATTACTTATAATTGAACTATTTTTTCCATTTCCTGACCTTATTATGTATGTTTAGGCAGTCCATTTTGAGGGGAGTGGCTAAAGAATTCCCTTTAGCTGAGCATAGGCATTGTGACAGACATGTATTTTCACACTAGCATAAAAATCACAAGGGTGATGAAATGAAAATGCTATTCTGGAAAGTTGCAAAGGCATACAATGAAGTTGATTTGGAGGAAGCTTTAGAAGAAATGAAAAATATTACTCCGGCTGCAGTGAGTTCTTTTAGATCACACAACCCAACTTGTTTTTGTAGAGCCTTTGTTAGGACAACCAGTAAATGTGATGTCAATGTTAGTAATATGGCTGAAACACTTAATGGTTACATAATACATGCTAGAGCAAAGCACACTATTTTCATGCTTGAAGACATAAGAGGTGCATTAATGCAAAGGCTAGTTGTGAAAAGGCAGCAGGTGGAAAAAACAAGTGGTATGTTGTGTCCTAAAATTAAGGCTAGGCTTGAGAAAGAAAAAGATGAGGCTGCCAATTGTACCCCTTTGCCATCTAGTCAGATTTTGTTCCAAGTGTGCCACAGACTAGACAGTTTAATAGTTAATTTAGAAGCTAGAACTTGCACTTGTAGGAAGTGTGACTTGAGTGGAATACTATGTTGTCATGCCATTTCATGCATTTTCTTCATGAATGACACACCTAAGAATTATGTGCATACCTGCTACATGTACTCAGGGGGTATTGCACCCCTTACTGGAGACAGAAATTGGCCTAAGGTTGATATGCCTTTAGACCCCCCACCTATTAAGATTGGTCCAGGTAGACCTAGGAAAAATAGAATGAAGTCACCCCATGAAAACCCTAAGAAGCCTGGAAAGTTAGCAAAGCATGATGTTGAGATGGCATGTAGTGTGTGCAAGTCAAAAGATCATAACAAGAGAAAATGCCCGGATAAAAAAAAGGCAGTTCAAGCTCAAGAAAAAAGAAACAGGTGCAGACCAAAGAAAGCTATTCAGACTGAAGAACAAAAACAAAGCAATGATTAATCTAATGCAGAGCCTTCAAGAATAGGGAGGGGAGGAAGACTTATTCAAGCAAGAGGAAGTAACACAGGGGGTAGAGGCAGAGCACCTGGGGACAGAAGAGGGAAAGCTAAAGCAGTAAGAGGAAGAGGTAGGGGTCAGATTCCTGTTGGATTTGATTCCTTATTGATGGAGAAGGAAACACTTGGACCAATGTAAGCAATTTACATATATTGTTATTCATAATTGCAATTGGTTTTGGAGGTATTATCCTGATAATGTCATTACCATTTTCTGTTTTTTCAGCCTCCAGAGAACCAAGGTGGTCCAAGTAATTTATCAGATCCTTCAGTTGGTTCTTCATTTGCTTAGCTTGCAGTCCAAAGTTGCAGTCCAATGAGGCGATTTTTAGTTGAAGACTATGTGTATTTTGAAGCTCTGTATTTGGAAGATTTTAAGTTTCAGACTTTTAGTTGTAGTCAATACACCTCTGTATTGACTGAAGTTTGTGTGTTTCTTAGTTTAATTTGTTAAATGACTTGAAGACTTGGTACTATTTGGAGCATTTCTTTTACTGTTGGTTATTGTTGATCAGTATGCAGGTTTAAGGTGTTAGCACGTAACTTATACATGTGCTTCATGTTCACTTTACTATTGTTTACTATTAGGGTGGTAGCATGTAACTTATACATGTGCTTCATGTTCACTTTAAAGGGTCTGTGTGTATCATTTAGACCTCTATAGAGTAACTTTTTTAAGGCTATTGCTTTTGAGGTGTTTGGTAAGACTTTTAATTAGTGTGATGTGTTATCGAGCTTAGTTCATGGCTCAAGAAGTAGCTTCCTGATATCCTTTGCTTTGTAAAGAAAACAACAATGCTCAGTTGGTCAAAAGAGTAACAGATTTTCATTACTTCAACATTACATTAGTTCAAAGGAATCCTACACATTACAATGAAACCAACTCCTCACAGAATGTTGTAACACCTCTCACAACTATTACCACAGCCAAACTCATCTAAAACACATATCTAGAACTCTAAGAATTGGGCAACACACTACCGAGTTACTTATAATACAACACAATGCAAAACCAAATCCACGAGGCAAAAAACAATCAAAGCCATTCTTTGTGTTTGTGTTTATCTGGTAACCAGTAGCTGGATTTCCTTATTTTCAGCTTCCATCATCTCTTTCTTACATTTCAGCCTAACAATCTTCCCCTTTAATGCCTTTTTGTCCATCAAAAGTTGCTCCAACAACATATCTTATCATTTCTCTTGTCTTCTTTGCAAAGACGATTTCCTTCATCAATCCATTGGAAATAATGACAATCTGCTTTCTGGAAGTAAACAATGAAAATGGTCATAACAAATACACAAAAGTCTTAGTTTGAGTGTAATGGAATTCTGACAGATTCTAAGAACCAATTCAAAACTTCTCAAGTTAAACCATTATGAATAGAGAAAATCGAAGGAGTACTCAATAACTTACAGGCCAAAGTGCACACTCATAGAATTGTCTCCCAGTATTTGGCCCGTTTTTCACCATTTCAGGTTCACAACACACTCTATGGTAGCACTGATTTGATAAACCACTGCTTCCAGTCCTACACCATGAAGATGTCCCAGCAATCGAAACCATTTCACCGTCGTGTGCCGTTGGTTGAGTTCTTGCGTCGCGACTCGCGATTGAGAAGAAAAGATGAAGACGATTTGGCCGTTGAGTTCCGTTGACTGTGTTCACCTTTCATTTGAGTGGACGAAGAAGAAGAATAGAAGATAACAGGGGCAAGGGTTTATGTATAATTAGTAATACACGTGCGTTGCACGTGTTTATTATTGAGAGAATTCCCTAAATAGGAGTAAAAACGTTTTGAAATTCCAAAATAGGAGTATCATGTTTTTTATTCTCTAAATAGGAGTAAATTTCTGCCAAGTTTGGGCATTACAAGGCTTTAAACATGGCATTTTCTTCCAAACTTGGCAGATTACTCCTATTCAGGGAATAAAAAACATGATACTCCTATTTTGGAATTTCAAAACGTTTTTACTCCTATATAGGACAATTTCTGTTTATTATTCCAGTTATAACTTATGTTTACCGGTCAGTGAGTATTTTAGGAAAGGGGGCCCAAAGTTGGGACTACAGGGAAATAATCAAAACTACGGATTATTAAAAGTGGACCGGGTATAGTTGGGACTTGGGATTAACATTACCTATTTTTCCTTTTGTAAATTATGTATACTTATTTGGTATTGGTGTTATGCTCATATTAACATGTTATATCAACGCCGACGAAACTCACACGACCAAATTTGAGTTTGCTCACATAACCTCAAAGTTCAATAGTAGATAACACAATACTCGATCAAAATAATTTGATGCTCAAAAGAGCTCTTGATATTTTTATATTCAATTGTAGAGGAGGTTTGATGCTCAATTAAGACGTCTTTATACTCAAATGATACTAATGTTATGCTCATTTTAAAAATGTCATATCAATGCATATTTCAAAACTACCGTATTACATTAGACCCGCATATTGAAATTCATATGAATTGATTATAAATATAATTTAATAAGTTTTTATAATAGAAAAATAAGAAAAAGAAAGTGCATTAGAAGATATGAAGCAGAGATCGTGATGCTCATTGTTTGGATCCTAATACGCAATAGAATAAATCTGATACTCAGTAAACATACATTAATGTTCATTTAGCGGAAGTGAAAATTTTCACTTAAATTACGAAATTGCCACCGATTGTACGGTGTTCACTGTACAATTGGTGGTAGGATATAGGCGCTGAAAAAATTATAAGACACTAATATACTCCCTCACTCTCTTAAAATCCTTCTCACTTACCTTTTTGGGACGTTTTAAAATTTCTTTTCATTTTCCTCTTTGAAAAGTTTTGTGTAACTACCATTCATTTGTCTTTTTCTTACTCAATCACAACCATACATTTATGTTGCATTCTCACTTGCTTAAACTTCGATTCAAGTCAAATCGGAAAGAATTTTATGGGACGGAGGGAGTAGTATTGATACTACAATATGAAAATATTGCAAGATTGAGAGTAACTATTACTCCCTCCGTCCCGAATTGTAAGGCACTTTACGCTTTACGATGTTTGACCGACGATAAAGCAAATGGATCCCTGTCCGCACTCAAATTATTTTTAGAAAAAAAGGAATTACATATTCAGAAACTACATTAAAAGATTTACAATATCGCAAAAATCAGAATTACATTTGATAAAAATTTGATATACAAAGGAAGAGATTAAAAGTGATTTGTGTTGACCAAGTGATCATAGGAAAAGTATCTTACGAAATGGGACTGAGGGAGTATTATTTAGGAGAAACTTCATCCTCTTATTTATGGAAATCACGTGTTTCCACTCCATTTAGGAGCAATTTTGTACTATTAAAATAACAATATTAAGAATAAAGTAAAGCATAGAAGTACAATAAATGAAAATATAGTGTCCTAATAAGATGGAAATGGTTAAGTAAATTTGATCGTGCGTAATTCTTGGTGTACACAAAAGTTGTACACAGGCACTAGGGGGTGTGTGTACAAATTGTGTACTAATTTTGTGTACAACATGAATTTTTCTTTCATCTTAGTTTGAAGTGTGATGGAGAATGACGTGTTGGATCTCCAAACAAAGCATACAATTTCTACCCATTAATATAATTCATCCTTTATTAGTTGTAACAGTTTGAACATTAAGTTTTTTTTATTGCATCTTCATCTTCAAAAGTGATGAAGATGGAATAGAAGATAATGAGGATGAGGATGAGGAAGGAGTTGGTTGTAGCACCAAAATAGAGCTACAAACGGGGATCCAAAAACATAATGGTGGCAAGTTACGATCACGGGAGCTGGACGCAAACTTGGTGATGGAGTATATGGCCCAGGAACCCCCGGCCCATAGACTCCTACTTCTCCTACACAAGTCCATTGAGCTCAGGAAACAACTCAGGCCCAAATACAACGGCCCAAGCCTCAAAGTAGCCCAGAATACACACTGGGGTGCCTTCGGCCTCCTTGGCCGAAGGCTCCAGAAACTCACGAAGTAGCCCTCTCTGACGTACGAAGCTACTGGGAGAAAACGGCAAAAAACATGAGCCTTCGGCATTACCAAGCCCTCGGTATTAGGGAAGCCTTCGGCTGAACTTAGCCCTCTGCCACTCGGGGCCTTCGGCTACACAGGGGTCCTTGGCTACATGGAGCCCTCGGCCACACAAGGTGCCTTCGGCCAAACACTCTCAATCATCGAAGATTCCTTTTAGGGACAGCCAACCACCACATTTAATGCCATGTCACATCCGCCAACCGCATTCAATGCGGTGAACGTACCACTGCCGGTGCCACCAGGCTGATATGACCCTTCGGCCGTTAGATTACTGACACGTGTACTCTCATCGCATTTATTGCTGCTATAAATAGCAGCCCATTTCTCCTTGTAATCGACATCTACATCCCCAACTCCACATCTCGAGTTCATTTAATAAATCGACTCTCTCTCCTCCTATTTGCTCTGACTTCTCTCTAGTTATTCCCGCAATAACCCCTCGGATAAGATACCCCCCGGGTAGACTATCCATCACTCGGTGTCCGTGAAAAAACAATAAGATAAGGGAGGTTGATTTCTAGCATCATGTTTCAAGTCAATTCTAACATTATATATACGATTTTATGTTATTGTTTACTTTGATACTTGTGTCTTTTGGTGAGTTTTGTTGCGAGAAGCCTTTACGGATTAGAACTTAGAAGTGATAAGGTTCATATGGTAAATTTAATCTTCAAGACTCTCACTAGCTTAGCGGATTGATTTTCTCTGAATAGCACCTACAAACTAGATAATTAAATGTGTCATGTTATATGGATGTCTAGATCCATTCACGATATGAGCATGACAAGTAGGTGTCATGCAAATCGGTGCAGGATGACTCCATCCTTCAAATTAGGAGCACAATTGAATCAGAGGACCCTACATCTATCTCCAAACTGATCTTAAATTATCAGCTGCCAATGATTCAGGCTTATTCAGATGCCTCTGACAGTTTTGATTATTCAGACGACTCTTTCTACAAAGATGACTTTCTAGGACATACAACCGAAAGCGATCGTCGTCCTCCTATTTCATACCCCGAAGAAATTAGGAAATCCAAATTCAACAGTGCAATTTGCTGCAAAGCAAATCTTGCGACTTCTGAAAATTGTCTGCCAACAGACAATCTAAACACGCAACTGAAGATCTACAGGAAATCTCAAAAAAAAAAGGCGCCACAGTATGAGGACTAGGTCACAGTCCAGAGATTTTCCTTGGGAGTAGCTTTATTTTTATTTCTTTTCTTTTTTATGTAATTTTTTTTTTACTTCCTTTCTCGCCTTGTAAGTTTTCCTTTATTCAATAAAATTCACTTTTCACAAAAAAAAAAGGTGTCATGCAAATCGAGTTGAATGTCAATG